CAGTGTGCATTTGGCTGCTACAGGCACCATTGTGCCCCAGATTAATGACACCTGAAATGACGTTATTTGCACCATTTCTAGTTCTGATTCTTAGTAACTGGCAGAGAAAAAGTTTTTCCATGTGATTGACCACCCCAGTGCTTTCACTCCCACCAAAAGGAGAATAAATCTTTGCACACATGAAAGCTGCTCCAAGAGCTACTGAACTCCAGGAAAGGTCTGCAGATGAAGAAGTTTGCCTGCATTTCCCCAAAGATCCTCTGCAATCTTTCCAAGAGAAGCCCCACAGCTCTGCTGGCAGCTCCAGAAGGGACCCTGCAGGTGGGGAGGAGCTCATTCCCAGCCAGCCCTGACTCCCAAACCTCCCCTCCCTTCCCTGAGTGCCCCAGCCCTGCTCCAGGACTCAGGAGGGGCTGGGGACACTCTCAGGCCATTGGGAGGCTGGCACAGCTAAGGACCAGATCTGGGTTTTGCCAAGTCTTTTTGGTTCTGGTGTCACTGGCAAGCACAGCACTTGGTTCTGGAATGGCCTTCAGCATCCTAACACCATCCTGCACCTGAGGCCTGGTTTGGTGAGTTATTCTGGGACAGAAATCACTGTTATCACCTTTTACAAAACACCTGCCAAGCTGAGATTTCCAGTTCTCCCCAGCACTGGTATCACTGAGCTCTCCTGGCCAGGTGTCCCCTGGCCCATGACAAAGACAGGCTGCTTTAGTGGTGGAGGGCCATAAAAATGGTACCAAAATTCATCTACAGTTCTCTGATTAATGCGAAAGTATTTTTTTCTGTAAAACATGAGATACAAAAAATGTCAAAAAATGTGCATGGTGCAAGACAAAGCTTTTCTTGGTGCTGTTCCAGGCTGACCCAGTGCCTGCATCTGTGAGAGATGCTCCCCCCACAGCACAGCAGCCTGGGTGCAATGTCACACCAGCACCACTTTCCTCCTTCCCTCTCCTCACAGAGCAAACAGAGGCGAGCAACAGCTGGGAAAGCATCCACTTGAAAACAAATCTGCCTTCAGAGATGTGTAATGGCTGAGGAAGAAATGCTTCTCCTGAAGCACGTTTAATGTTCAGAGCTTGTTCACTGACTGAAACAGCAGTTCCTTAATATCCAGCATTTAGGAGTGCTCAGCAGCCGGAACAGCAAGTAATTATAAAACTTTTCTAAAGTACACAGCACGCAGTGATTGCAAATGAAGCTTCCTCAAGGAAGAGCTTCCAAGGAATTGCTCCAGGGTGGATAGATGAGTCTAATTTGATTGGATTGAGAGCTCCCCTGGGCCAGGTCGCTCCTTGGATGTGTTTGAATTTACAGAAATGCAAATCATTCACGGCCAGACTGCAGCACGTGCTGGCACGGGGGACTGGGGGCTCCTCTGGATGTGCTGAGCAGCCCTGGCAGGGTGGGTGTGGGCACAGCTGAAGGCACAGCTCCTCCCTGCTGGGGCATGGGCATGCTGAGGAGATGCTGAGGAGATGCTGAGGAGATGCTGAGGAGATGCTGATGCTCACAGCTGAGCCTGCAGGTCAGGGATGGGGGAATGCACTCCTGGCAGGGGCTGGCAGCAAATGCTGCCCCAGGAGAATGGGCACAGAGCTCCTGGATGCCTCTGAGCAGCACAGTTTTGGGAAAAGAAGGTGGAATGGAAATGTTCTGTTAATGGAAAGATAATAAAAGATGCATAAAAGGCAAAACAGAAGTGACATCAGGAGAAAATGCCATGAAAGTTGCCAGCTGCTGCCAGCTGTGTGGGCAGCACACACCCTTGGGAGATCAGCACTGCTAACTGCACCAGCACTCTTGGTTTTAGAAGATTTTTGAGTATGATATTAAGCATTCCTTTGCAAGTACTTATTGATCATTCAAACCCACAGTGCCCTAAGAAACATTTACCCTTGGAAGAAGACTTTCCTTGTATTCACATGCAGGACCGGCTGTATCCAAAGCTGTGCTTAATTTAATGCAGGGGATTTAAAACCTGGTACTGTGGGTGCACAACCCAGCTAAGCTCACACTGGGGGTAATGCCACAGATACTGAACACAAAATAGATTCTGCTTCTTTCTCCCCCTTTTCCAGACTCTCAGGGGTCTGGAAAAGGGGGAGCAATGGGAAACCTGCCCAGGGCTGAGCTGAGGCCAGCATTAGTGACCACTGAGCCAGCATCAGTGACCACCAAGGCCAGGATCAGTGACCAGAGCCCAGCATCAGTGACCACCAAGGCCAGCATCAGTGACCAGAGCCCCAAATGAGTGACCACCAAGCCCAGCATCAGTGACCAGGCCTGTTCTGCAAAGGTTTCCCAGGGCAGGGGGCAGAGGATGACCAAGGAAAGCACCCAGAGAGCTCAGCTGCTGCCAGGGCCATCAGCAGACAGCAATCTTTGCTGCATGCCCATCTGCAGGTGTGGCCCAGCAGTCTCTGATGAGACATTTCACAGTGCTGGGTTATTGCTCCAAGTAATCGAGCAGTTTCCACTCTTAAATGAGTGAATCTGAGCACTGCTACGGGCTAAATCAATAATTTCGATTTATTACAGTGACTCTCAAAAGAGAAATTTTAAAAAGCCTAGATTAAAAACATTTTTTAGCCATCCTTTATTCCAACAGATTTTTACAGAAAGTGCCCAGGGATCCGAGAATACTTCGACCTGCTGGAAATTCAGCAACTCCTTTTGTCTCTAATGCTCTCCAGTTCTGACAGTGACATCTTAATGCAAGATCAGCACTTAGCAAGTGACATAAGAAATGGAGAGGAGCACAAAGCCCAGCATCCCCAGTTACAGTGCACATCTGACTCTTCACTAAAGGGATGGGTTGAAGCATGTTCTCACCATGTGCAGGGACAGGGCCACCAGAGGCTCAGGGCTTGTGTTCCTGCCATCCTCCATCTCCTGCTCTCCTGCACCTTTTCCCAACCACGG